GAAGCTGTGCTCTTGGACAGCGCAGGGCGGCCCTGCCTTCTCACGGTTTCCTTGGACTCCTGGAAGATGGGCTTTGAGGGAAGAAATCAATGTAGTGAGGGCTTGGTTCTTGTTTTCCTGCTGGTGGAGTCCTGTGTGCTAGTGGTCTCCTGAGAATCCTAGTGAGTGGCAAAGACCCCTTGGGGACTCTGCTGTCTGCCGTCTTATAGCTGAGGACTGGGGTGACAGCCGCTTAGAGAAGGAACAGCTTCTACCGTTCCGGGAGTAATAGACAGGCAGAAAACCTGGCCTTGCAGAAATAGCACAGTGGCAGAGGCGTGCCTGGAGAGGGCGCTCGAGCCTCTCCTGTCTCCTTGCTGGGTCCCACGTGGCTTTGTTTCTCAAATGCAGCTTGCCACCTCTTTCACGCATTGAAAGAGTGTGGACATCAGTGTCTCACTGTCGGTCACTTTTCCTGTGCAAACACCACTATATAACCAGTCTTGGGGTGAACGTTCAGTATGACTCCAAAGCCTTATTGTAATCACCCTGTGTTTACATCCTTATCATGTATTTTTGTTTGCCTCTCTTATAATTTCCTAAGGATGGATTCAGAGAAATAGAACTCTCTTTTCTTTTTAAAGTTTTTTGGTGTTTTGCCTGTATGTATGTGTGTGTGAGGGTGTTGGATCCTGGAGTTACAGACAGTTATGAGCTGTCATGTGAGTGTCGGGAATTGAACCCTGGTCCTCTGGAAGAGCAGCCAGTGCTCTCAACCGCTGAGCCATCTCTCTAGCCCTGAAATAGAACTCTTGAGTCAAAAGTCTAGAAAAAGATTAATTAGTGCTGTAGATACAGACATAAAACTCAATCTACAGCTCCCTGCGGGACACAGTGTTAATAGCTGGGTGGAGCAATGGATGAGGTCCCATGTGCATGCCGGGACCAGCATTCTGAGCCATCTTGCCTATTCCACCACTTGCTAGTTATATGACCTTGACAGGGTACTTTACTATTTGCCTCAGTGTCCTCATCTATAAAATGGGATGAGAAAAGTACTCATCTCATAAATTTACAATAAAAAGTAAAAGGAATTTCTATATGTGAAGCGCTTAGAGTAGCCCAAGGCCTATAACAAGTGCCATACAAGTATTTACTTAACAGTAAATACTTCTCCACCTAACTGCCTCTGCTTATCCATGAATAAGGGCCCAATTATTTTTAATGGGTGTGTTGTATTCTATTGTAAGAATGTCTCCCTGAGGGTCTGTAGACACTTAATGGTTGCAGTATGGCCGGCCACTGATTAGTTTTTCATGCTCCTCTAAGCAACCCCAATCAAAGTCATTGGGTCACATACACACACACACAAAAGACATGAAGAGTTCAGGAAAAGTCGGGGAAGGGTGGAGATGGGAGAGACGGGCTAGATGAGAGGGGAGCGGATCAGTGGGAGGGAGAGGGGGTAGCCCGTGAATATGATCAAAATACATGTATGGAAATGTCACAATGAAACCCATCATTATGCATAGTTAATATGTGCTAGTAAAAGCACTTTTAATTTCAAGATGAGCCTTGGAGACAGGCGATGGTGGCACACGCCTTTAATCTCAGCACTCAGGAGGCAGAGGCAGGTGGATCTCTGAGTTCGAGACCAGCCTGGTCTGCAGAGCGAGTTCCAGGACAGCCAGGGATACACAGAGAAGCCTTGTCTTGAAAAACCAAAAAACAGAAAAAGGGGGGAAGATGAGCGTTGGGCTGAGGATGTGCCTGAGCGGTGGTGGAATAGGTGTAGCATGTCCAGGGTCCTGGGTCCAATCCCTAGCACCCCCACCCCTGTAAAAAGAGGGGGGCTTGATCTACCCAAACCCCCACTGGTCATTAAACCTAGAACCTCCAGGCAAGGTTTCTCCCACTCAGCTGCTTCCCTGAACTTTGGATTTATTTTTTTGTTTTTTATTTGTTTGTTTGTTTGGTTGGTTGGTTTTTGGTTTTTCAAGACAGGGGGGTTTCTTTGTGTAGCCCTGGCTCTCCTAGACTCCCTCTGTGGACCAGACTGACCTCAAACTTACAGAGATTTGACTGCCTCTGCCTCCTGAGTGCTGGGATTGAAGATGTGTATCATCACCACCAGGTTTGTTGGTTTGTTCCATTTAAGAAAACACTTCATTTCTATTTTACGTGTGTGGATGTTTTGCCTGTATTTGTCTGTGCACCACATCAGTACAATGCCTGCAGAGGCCAGAAGAAGGCATCAGGTCCCCTGGAACTGGAGTTACAGATGGTTGTGAGCTGCCATGTGGGTGCTGGGATTTGAACCAGGGTCCTCTGAGAGAACAGCCAGTGCTCTTAACCACTTAGCCATCTCTCCTGCCCATTGTTCTGTTTTGAAATCAGACTTCTGCCTCTTGCTAGTCATCTTCTGTGATAAGTTCCCAGAGCTGGACTTAGTGAGTTCTCTTTCTCTCTTCTTCCCTTCCTCCCTTCCTTCCTTCCTTCCTTCCCTCCCTCCCTTTCTTCTTCTTCTCCTCCTCCTCCTCCCCCCCTCCCCTCCCTCTCATCTCTCTCTCTCCCTCTCTCTCTCTCTCTCTCTCTCTCTCTCTCTCTCTCTCTCTCTCTCTCTCCCCCTCCCTCCCTTCTTCCCCCTCCCCAATCTCGTCCATGAGTCTTCCTAAGTTGCAGGGTCTGGTCTTGTACTTACTCATTCTCCAGGGTTTCTGGGATCAGAGGTCTGGACCACTGTGCCTGCTTACTGGTCCGCTTTGAGCAGTCGTTAAAGTACATGTCCTGACTCCAGAAACCAGGGATTCTGGGCTTATTTGAAGGTTTCTGGGAACCTCGGCCAGGGTCCCTCGTCTCTGCAGAACCCGGGCTCCTCTCTGGAGATGAGAAGACAGCATAAGATGTTGAAGGAAGCCAGAGAAAGTAAGGGGAAGAGGCTGGCTAGTTCGTGTCACCTCTGGTGGAAGTGTCCCATTCCATCACCAAGAGGGGGCCTGTGCTGGCCCTGGTACAGATAGGCCTCCGCACAAGACTGGTGTGATGTCATGTTGAAGACAAGCACTATGGGGTACTTATGAGCATGTTTTATTGAATCCTCATGACTACTCTCTGGAGTTGACTCATGGGATAATCTCAGAGAAGGAGGTCCCTTGAACATGGTCACTCAAATTACAGAGAACTCTGCCTTGTTTGGTCTATATAGCAGCAAACCTCACTTTTTGGCCTTCATACAGTTAGCAGGGTACTCCGGCCCAAAGTATGGGTTGCTTTGCTATCAGGAAGCCATTCTGTGTGGCCTGGGCAGGTCCTGCTTTGTCTCCCAAACAGTGAGGAAGGATATGGGACATCTCCAGACCCAGGGCATGCTAGAGTCCTGTGATATACCCCGTGTGGTGGCCATGCCTTTAATCTTAGAAGCAGGTGGATCTCTGTGAGTTTAAAGCTAGTCTGTTTCACATAGCAAGTTATAGGCCTGCCAGGGCTGCTTAGTGAGACCCAGTCTCCCCCAACTCTTCTCCCTGGAAAAAAAAAGGCAATGATGTCGGGAGACCATGTCACCTTCTAAAACTTTGACCAAAGAGTCTAATAAAGAGACTAATTATAAAAGTATGTTTTGGGGGGTTGGGTGAGTACTGGATATTGAACCTAGGACCCTCAGTGTGCTAGGCAAGCACTCTAACACTGAGCTATATCCCCAGCCCTAATTATAAAGACATGAGAGTCCAGAAAGGAGGTGGAACCCTTAGAGATTAAGATCAGCACAAAGTTGTCCTTGTCACTAGACCTGGAGGAGAAAGGGAGGGGACGGACCATAGTTCAGCAAGTGCTGGCGGTAGGAGGTGGGGCTGTGAGAATTGTACCTGTCCCTCCCATTGAGTCCCGTACTCCTGTGTGCCAGTGAGGCGGGCCTGCTCCTGGGCACAGGACATACAGCCCAAGGATTTTGTGAGCTGTGGCCTGTCCTAAGGGGGGGACCATAACACAATTTGACTTATGCCTGCTGAAGGGCATCTGGCCATGAGGGCTTGGGCGATTGTCTGCTTTCTTCTTGCTGTATGCCACCCAGACACTCTCGGCTTCCCTCCAGATCTAGGGAGCTCAGGGGCCAGGAAGAGAAGCTCAGCTTCTCAGAAGGTTCACATTGAACTCGGCCTGGTGCCTCGTGCCGATAGTGCAGCTGAGGCAAGAAATTTGTAAGTTTGAGGGCAGCCTGAGTAACTTAGAGAGACCCTGTCTTAGAAAATCCCGAAAGATGTCAGAGTGAAGTTCAGTGGTAGAACATCTGTCCGGTGTTGCACACTTGGCCTAGAAGAGAGGTGCTGGTTCCGATTGGGCCCCAAGGTCACTCTTCACCCAACCACAGAGGGACAGAGTAAGCTAACTGGTCAGGCTACAGTCTTATGTCCTGTTCGGGGACTGGGGAATGATGGTCCTTCCCATATACCCCAAACTAAAGCAGGAGTGTTTGCGCCTGTAGGTTACTCTAGCAGGGGTGTTCCTGCTCCGAGAAAGGTTTAGACGGACAAGATGCTGGAGCACAGAGCTCCTCGCTGTGCCGTAGGAAAACGTGAAACAGCAAACGACAGCTTCGAATTGTGGCTTACTCCTAATGTGGAATATTAGGCAGTATTAAAACATACATTAGGAGCTGGAGAGATGGCTCAGCCATTAAAGGCTAGGCTCACAACCAAAAAATATAAAACATGCATTAGAATTAAGTTTATGGAGAAAATGTAATGATAGGATTTATGCTAGACTATGTTGAAAATAGGTTACAAATACATAAGCTATATGATTTCAGCCATGTGAAGTATATTTATGCTTCAAAAAATGCTGAAAGTATTCCAAAATGTTCATTCTAATTATGGCAATATGGGTAAATTTCTTCTGTAATTGTTTTCTTTTACATTTTAAAGTACTCTAATTATATATGTACCTAAGAAACAAGCATTAGTTTTACAAATCTGAGCTGTAAAGTGACTTCCACTTCTACAGTATGTGGCTTTTCTATGTAGTAGCCAGTGAGGAGGAGGGGCGGCCGAGAGGAGGGCAGCCGAGAGGAGGGGGGCGGAGAGGAGGGCAGCGGAGAGGAGGGGGGCCGAGAGGAGGGCGGCCGAGAGGAGGGGGGCGGAGAGGAGAGGGGCAGAGAGAAGGGGGGCGGAGAGGAGGGCGGCCGAGAGGAGGGCGGCAGAGAGGAGGGCGGCGGAGAGGAGGGCGGCGGAGAGGAGGGGGCCAGAGAGGAGGGCGGCGGAGAGGAGGGGGGCGGAGAGGAGGGCGGCCGAGAGGAGGGGGGCGGAGAGGAGGGCGGCCGAGAGGAGGGCGGCCGAGAGGAGGGGGGCGGAGAGGAGAGGGGCAGAGAGAAGGGGGGCGGAGAGGAGGGCGGCGGAGAGGAGGGCGGCGGAGAGGAGCGGGGAGCCAAGAGGAGGGTGGTGGAGAGGAGGGCGGCGGAGAGGAGGGCGGCGGCGAGGAGCAGGGAGCCAAGAGGAGGGTGGTGGAGGGAGGGCGGCGGAGAGGAGGGTGGTGGAGAGGAGGGCGGCGGAGAGGAGGGCGGCCGAGAGGAGGGCGGCGGCGAGGAGGGCGGCAGAGAGGAGGGGGGCCGAGAGGAGGGGGGCGGCGAGGAGGGCGGCAGAGAGGAGGGGGGCTGAGAGGAGCGGGGCCAAGTGCGCAGTTTTAAGCCTTGAAGGAAGCTGCCAGCAGGTCTTGGCCCCACTAGGAGCAGATGGTGGGAGGTGCGGTTGTGGTGGGTAGATTTGTAGTGCCATTGATGAACCAAGGCTCAATCAGAGGACTTTGTTCGTTCAGTCAGTCCAGAGGACCGTGTTCATTCATTCAGTCAGTCCAGAAGACCTTCATTCAGTCAGTCCAGAGGACCTTGTTCATTCATTCAGTCCAGAGGACCTTGTTCATTCATTCATTCATTCAGTCCAGAGGACCTTGTTCATTCATTCATTCAGTCCAGAGGACCTTGTTCATTCATTCATTCAGTCCAGAGGACCTTGTTCATTCAGTCATTCAGTCTAGAGGACCTTGTTCATTCATTCAGTCAGTCAGTCCAGAGGACCTTGTTCATTCAGTCAGTCAGTCCAGAGGACCTTGTTCATTCATTCAGTCCAGAAGACCTTCATTCTACAGCTCTTCCCCAGTGTGTCTTATGACAGAAGAACCGAGACAAGCCTGTGCTTCCCAGAAGCCCACATCTTCCATGTACCCTAGGCCTGGCTTGTGAGCAGCCTTAGGCAAAGGAGCCTTTGAAAGGTAGCTTGGACACCAGGTGGACAAGCAGCCGATGGTGGAGGAACAGGGTTTGCCCTGTGTGAGAAGAGACAGAGAGAGTGCTAAACATGGTCCTACCGCCTCTCAGGCTGACTGGTTCTGAGTGGAAATGAGTGTTTGGTGAACGTCTAGATAGTGTGTTGGGGATGTGGGGCCCCCAAGGAAAGAGCTAAGAAGTAGCTCCAGGAGTTAGGACAGATGGAGAACAAAGAGGCTGGCAGATGGGAGGGAGGTTGTCCTTGATCTGGGCATGGAAGCTGTAGTCAGGATGGGCACACAGATCACAGGAGGAGGTCAGGAAACAAAGGTATTACTCATGGCAGCCGGATCTGCCATGCCATAGGGTTGGTCAGCATACAGGTTTCTTTTCTTTTTTAATTATTTTTATTTTATATGCCTTGGTGTTTTGCCTTCATGTATGTGTGAGGGTGTCCGATCCTCTGGAATTGGACTCACAGACAGTTGTGAGCAGCCATGTGAGTGCTGGGAATCGAACCCCCGGTCCTCTGGAAGAGCAGTCAGTGCTCTTAACCCCTGAGCCATCTCTCCAGCCCCCAGGTTTCATTTTCTTTTCTTTCTTTTTTTTTTTTCTTTTTTTTTTTTTCTGGAGCTAAGGACCGAACCCAGGGCCTTGCACTTGCTAGGCAAGCGCTCTACCACTGAGCTAAATCCCCAACCCAGGTTTCATTTTCTAATGGAGAGTCAAGACTGTCTTCTCTCTCTCTCTCTCTCTCTCTCTCTCTCTCTCTCTCTCTCTCTCTCTCTCTCTCTCTCTCTCTCATTTTTGTTTGTTTGTTTTTTGTTTTTGTTTTGTTTGTTTTTTGAGACAGGATTTCACTGTGCACTATTCCTGGCTGTCCTGGAACTTGCCTTGTAGACCAGGTTGGACTCAAAACTCATTGAGATCCGCCTGCCTCTGCCTCCCAAGTGCTGGGATTAAAGGCATGTGCCACCACCGCCCGGCTTTCCCCTCTCTTTTTTGAGACAGAGTCTTGTAGCCCAGGGTGGCCTAGAACTCACTATAAAGCTGAAACTTGGGATCTCTTGCCTCCACCCCCTAAGTGCTGGAATTATAGACATGCACCACCACACCTGGTTCATCAGTGCTAGGGATCAAACCTAGGGTCTCCTGCCTACCAGACAAGAACTCTACCAACAGCTGACTCCCCAAACTCCACGTGTCCTCTTCTAATATGACCTCCCTGCAGGGCATTCAGGTCTCGGAGACTACTGGGGTCCAGCCCCTAATAGTCTCTTTTCTAGGGTCTGGGGAAGAATCTGTCAACCAGCTGAGAATCTATTCTTTTTTTTTTTTAATTTTTTTAAATTTTTTCTGGAGCTGAGGACCAAACCCAGGGCCTTGCACTTGCTAGGCAAGTGCTCTTCCACTGAGCTAAATCCCCAACCCCTGAGAATCTATTCTTAAGGTTGGCAAATCCATCTACGCACGCAGGCAAAGCTCTTTGGTCCATTCGCTTTAATCCAATATCTGTCTCTCGCTTTACAGTTATATACCCAAATAATCACAATCCTTCCCTCCACCCAGGTCACCCAGCCTGAATTTCCTCAGGCAGTGATTGTCCGCTTTCAGGGTCAAATGGAGGGGTGATAAGAATCATAAACAGGGGCAATAATTGTTATTACCATTTGCAACCCAAAGAGGAAGTGACTAATGAATTAAGGCTAAATTTGGGTAATATCTAAAAAGAGTTATCTTATGTGCACAACTATAATCTTAAACGTGATTGGTAGAAAATGTTAAAAATCTATAAGTTGCTAGGTCAATGGGAGAAAATAAAACTGCCTTCTTTTTTCCTGTGGCTCCTATCAGTCCATGCTATCTGCCGTTTTTTTCTGGGGGGGGGGGGGGGGAGAGGTGTACTCAGTCTCTAGTGTACAGCTAAATGCCTCTGGTGATAGTTAAAGAGAGATCTGGAACTAGAGGTAAGATCTGGGAAAGGAGGAAGTTAAGCTTAATTGGCACATCCGCCAGGCCTTCTCAAACAGGTAGCCTGGATGCTTAAGTCTGTTCTTAGAGAGTACAGAGGTATCTCTGATAAGGTACTTTCCTCCAACTGGGAATGGACCTGGCCGGATGCTGCCAATGATGATAATTACAGGGAGGCTTGAACTGGGGTTCTGGCTGAGCATAGCTGTCAGCGCACAGGTTATCTAAATATTCCTAGAAGTGGTTAGGTAAGGAGTTAGCAGTCTATAAAGTTAGTAAGGCTGTAAGAAAGGAGGGTCTGAGCTAAATTGTGTAAAGCTATTACTTAACGTCCAACTGACCTAGGTGGTGTCTTCTTGTGAAATTTACCTTAAATAAGGAGACTTTCATGTGGACTGTTATTACTGCTAGTCCTTGAAAGTGGCCAAGGGAGAATCTGATTCCAGAGAAAGCCTTTCCTGAGGCATTTCTCCAAATACCTGGAATGTGTATGTCCAGAGAGTGATCAGTCCACACTGTTAGCCCTTCTTAGGGAAAAGTCAATTGGGAAAACTATGAAGGCACACATGATTTTCATAACAGAAGACAGCTGACATATAACAAGCCAAGTAACACCAAAAGCTCCTTGGAATTTGGCTTCCTCTGGAGGAAATCCTTGATCCCTCCAGGTAGTAGTAACTTTGCCATAACCAGCTGAGTTCTTATGATATATTCCTGTGGCCCGCAGCATTCAGGGATAGAGCATAGGCTTGTACTGGCTTCCCTCCCCTAGCTTGCTCTCTGGGGATCCCCATCCTGAGAACCCAGGCACTGTGCTTCAGGGAAGCCAGGCTACATGGGGATGCTGTGTGGGCTGACAGTCCCTGCTGAGGTCCTGGCAGCTGTGGCATCGCACATCTGTAAGAGGAACCTTTGAGATGACTCCACCTCCAGGAGCCATCAGACTGCAGCTTGGTATGAGACCCTGAGGGAGAACTACTAAGCTGAGCTCCATCAAGCTGCAGACTGAGACAGATGACAAATCACATTGTTGTCTTAAACCTTTGAGTTTGGGGTGAGTGGTTACCCCGCCGTGTGTGAGCAGATCCATCAGTGCGTCTACTTTTAGACAGACTATCCTACACCAGACCAAGCAGGAAGTATGCGGCGGCAAGCTCTCAGACATGCACCCCTCCTCGTGTGGACCCATGTGACACATTGCTGCCACCCAGTCTGTAGTTTACATTAGGGCTTATGTGGTGGTGTGTTTGGACAAACCCACTGTCATGGTGTCGTACAGAAGGGTTGCACTGCTCCCAGAACCTGGGCTCTTCTGTTCGCCCCTCCCCAATCGCTGAACCACTGATCCACTAGTCTCTAGAGTTTTGCCTTTTTTCAGACTGCCATGCTGTGGAGCAGCAGTTCTGTGTGTAGCTTTTCAGGCTGGCTTCTTTTTCTTATCGATGCTTAAGGCTCCTCCACACCTCTTCACAACTTAGCTCATTTCTTAGCGCTGAATAGTGTGCCGTCTTCTAGGTAGACCTCAGGTGAACCACTCACTGGCGGAAGACCATCTCTTTTGCTTCCCACTTTGGGCAGTTAGGGGTAGAGATGCTTTAAGCGCCCATGTGTGGAGTTCTGTATGAACGCAGATTTACCTCATGAGGTACAAACCAAGGCGGGCGAGTGCTGGGTCCTGTGGAAGAAATTCTGGCTCTGTTGTCTTCAAGAATGTCCCCTCTTACATTCTCCCCTCTCAGCCAGCATTTGGTGGTGTTGCTCTTCTGGAGTTGGGCCATTTGTTGTAAGTGTGTGGTAATATCTCACTGGGTTTTTGTTTTGTTTTTTTATTTATTTTTCAGACAGCTCATTCTCAGAAATGTAGACCACCTTAGGGTGTAGAGTTTTCTCTCTACATAGCTCTGGTTGTCCTGGAACTCACCATGTAGACCAGGCTTGCCCCAAACTCACAGAGATCTGCTTGCCTCTACCTCCCGACATGTATCTCCTTGTTTTAATTTGCATTTCCCTCCCCCTCTCCATCTTTCTATCCCTCCCTCCTCAGGACTGTGCAGTTACTGCCAAGTGCTCCACAATTGAGTCGTATCCTCGGCCTTGACACTGTCTTTCACCAAGGTGAAGGGCTGAGTTTTTTTTTTTTTTTTTTTTTTGTTTTTTCGAGACGGGGTTTCTCTGTGTAGCTTTGCGCCTTTCCTGGGACTCACGTGGTAGCCCAGGCTGGCCTCGAACTCACAGAGATCCGCCTGGCTCTGCCTCCCGAGTGCTGGGATTAAAGGTGTGCGCCACCACCGCCCGGCAAGGGCTGAGTTTTATTTCATTTTTTCTTTAAGATTTATTTATTGGGGCTGGAGAGATGGCTCAGAGGTTAAGAGCACTGACTGTTCTTCCAGAGGTCCTGAGTTCAATTCCCAGCAACCACATGGT